TTGGGCACTGATGGAGAGTGGGAACTCAGATGACTGAATCCCAGATTCCAGTTCCTGCAGCATCTCTTATCCGTCTGTCTCTGCGACAGTTAAATCAGCTTGAAGGACTTTGCGGCCATGTGTCTTCTCTTAGGGCTATTAAAGTACTAATTCTTCCCTCTGCATGCTTTGGACAGTGGACTCATCTTTTATTTTTTGCACTTAAGTGTGGACTTGGCTAGTGCAAGGCTGATTTAGAATGCCACAGGATGCGTGCGAAATGTGATTGATGTTTGTCAATTGCAAAATGTGATCTGTTTGTCCGTTTTTGGAATCCAATCCAGCTCCTAAAACCATCAGTCTTTCATTTCTAAGATGCCAGAGCTCTGTTAAGTATCCCACCATTCAGAGGCAAGAGGCTACCACCACAATCCTATGTATTGAATACATTGGACTTACTCCCAAGTAAATAGTTATTGAATTGCAACCTGCATTAGGAAGATAAGTTTGGGTTCACAACTTGGGTTGTATGGTGCTTAGGGTTACTTTGCACGCAGTATGATTATTAGAATCATTTCCCACAGTCTCTTTGAATATTCAGGATAAAATTGTGGTTTTTAAGAGTTGTGATAAGATACGGTAATGTGCTGGTACAGTGGTGCCCCGCAAGACGAATGCCTCGCAAGACGAAAAGCTCGCTAGACGAAAGGGTTTTCTGTTTTTTGAGTCGTTCCCCAAGACGAATTTCCCTATGGGCTTGCTTCGCAAGACGAAATGTCTTGCGAGTTCTTGCGAGTTTGTTTCCTTTTTCTTAAAGCCGCTAAGCCGTTAATAGCTGCTAAGCCGTTAATAGCCGCTAATAGCCGCTAAGCCGCTAATAGCCGTGCTTCGCAAGACGAAAAAACCGCAAGACGAAGAGACTTGCGGAACGGATTAATTTCGTCTTGCGAGGCACCACTGTACTTTGGAATTAGTCCTCCTGAAGGGAACTGACAACACTAGCAGTTGGTGAGAGCAAAAAGAAAAGTCAGATAGTGTGTTTCTCCGCTTCTCCAAAATGCAAGTAAAATTCAGGGGAATCCTTAGTAGAGTGATGGTAGAGAGAGAACTAAAATGTTCCCTGAGATGTTGTGCAGAGAGATGCAGCCCTATGAGAGAGATTTTGCAAGAAAGTGAAACCGAAAGCAGCCAACATTTTATATTATGTAAAGCATTTCAGAGCCAAGAGCAAAATTCATTTGCTGTGCACTTTGAGTAGATCTCGAAGGCATGATTTATATATGTACATATAAACCTAGCAGGAGCAATGCCATCCCTGTTGCATCTTTTCTCTCAGCTTCACTTAATCCTTGAGGTGCTGTCATATTGTGCTGTCATATTGTGCACATATTGAGCAGCGCACGGAAACTCCGTTTACCTTTCCGCCAGAGTGGTACCTATTTATCTACTTGCACTTTGACGTGCTTTCGAACTGCTAGGTTGGCAGGAGCTGGGACCGAGCAACGGGAGCTCACCCCATCACAGGGATTCAAACCCTTGCCTTCCGATCGGCAAGTCCTAGGCTCTGTGGCTTAACCCACAGTGCCACCCGGTAGCAACACACTAAAGCACACTAAAGCATAGATCCTGCATAGATTTCCTCTCCCTTTCCTTATGTCAGGGATGGGGAGACTTTTTCAGCTTAAGGGCTTCATACTATTCTATGAAACCTTCTGAGGGCCTCATGCCAGTAAGTTGGGGCCACAGGCAAAAGAGGGTGGGCCAATGTAAATGTTACCTTTGCACGGTAGGCTAGTTTCTTCACACACACCTTTTTGCAGACCCTCCAAGTGACCCTATTTTCCAGGGACATTCCCGGATTTACAGAAGCCATCCCAGTTTCTGATTTGATCCCAGAATGTCCCACTTTTCCTTAGAACATCCCTATTTTCATTGGAGAAATGTTGGAGGGTATGGAGTTATGCAGGACCAGAATTAAGTTTGATGAGGCCCTAAGCTACTGAAGGTAATAGGGCCCTTTATATGTCCAGCCGTCCTTTGTCAACAACAAATTGTCGCTGTTTTTTGTGTTGAACATATGCTATATGGTAATTTATGGACTTAATAGGTAACTAAAGCCATTTGCACATGCAGAATGTAGGCACCCTATATATAGAAATTAGCAAACCAGTGATCTTTTAGGGAGCAGGCTAGCAGGCGGGGCCCATGACTTACATCATAGGAGTCTACACAACACAAAACACTGTTGCTGTATGTAGGTATGTATTTTATTTGTTTTTTATCTTCTATTTTGGATATGTACATCCAGGTTTTTTCTTTAATTTTTTTGGGGGCCCCCAAGAGAGTGGGGCCCTAAGCTATAGCTTGTTTAGCTTGTACATAAATCTGTCACTGCCTGTCACTCAGCCAGATTGCCAGTTGCGTCACTAGAATGAGACACAACATTGCCCAAGTGACGTCAGCGAGCATTTCAAATATTCTGATTATTTCTGCTTTTAGATATTTTTATTTATTGACTTGATTTTTTTTGCGGGGGGGGGGCGCTGCTCCCTGCCTCCCAGGCTACACCCATGGTGGGCTTGAGCCACACATTGGGTAAAAGATTTCTGCAATTCAGGGGGTTGGGCTAGATGACCCTTGCGGTCCCTTCCAGTTCTAGGATCTGTGACTTTGTATAGATGGAGCCATGCTCCTGAATCAACTGCAAAGGCCTGCCATTGCCCCACCTCCTTTCCGGTTCCGAACTTCACTTGTTCCCCTGTAGAAATTTCCCTGCATGTTGCAGCTGCTTGATTTGGGAAACAGGTCCCTGGCTGAAGGAAAACCTTAACACAGCGGGGTGGGGGGTCTGCCTCTGTCCTTAGAGACTTGTTTGTTTTCCATTACGCCAGGAGGTTTGTGTGGGGAAAAAAGTTCCTTTTCATTATGAGTAATGGGCTTTCAGGGAGTGCGTTTCAGTGCATTAGCAGTTCCCCATAATTAATGTAAGATTTTATTTTAAAAGCATAACCAAGCACAGTGAGGAGGTTACTAAACAATTCCTGAAGGGAAAGGCGGGCAGCTGCAGAAATAAAAGCCTCTATAAGAGTCGCTTTGGGAAAGACCTGGGTTTTATTTTTATTTATTTATTTAATATTTTATTTATTTTTGAAAAGTGTTTATCAAAAATGTTAACATATTTATTTATTTATTATTTCCCCGCTCTTGAAGGGGAAAAAAAAAGGCTTGCAGAGCAGCTTGCAGATATCAATAAAAAAAGACCGTCCCTGCCTCCAGGCGACACAAAAAGAAAAGTGGAGGAGGAGGGTGGAGGAACAAAGCAAGCTCTGGGATTAGGTCTTTGCTATATAGGGTTCTTGTAGCGATCAGCTGAAATGGAGAGCTCAAGGACAAGAGGAGTTGCTGGTCAATCACCTGAGCTGACGGAGAGCTCCTGTGGTCTCACCTCTTCCTCTTCAGCAGCCTTATGGAAGCGGGTCCTGCTAGGTGAAAGCGAGGAAGGAGCCTGATCAATATATAATGAAAGCCTTGTCTCTTGTCCGGTCAGCAATGAAGCAGCAGCAGCAGCGATGAAACGTGAGAGCTTCAATTTCTGGATTTTGGCTCTAGCCTGGCCCCCGAGAAAGAGAGTGTGACAGCATCACCTCTAGCATCTTCAAGCCTCTGGGCAGAGATGCGGTACTTCTAAGTATCATGGCTAGTAACCACCAGGAAACATGTGAATTTATTCTGTCTTTGCAGGAAAGGCTTTCATGCTGGTGAACTGTTTAGCACTTAATGTGGTGGTGGTGGTGGTGGGAGGTTAAATAACAGCACAGCTGAATTCTCAGATGCACATAACTCTGGGATTCAATGTTCAGTAATGTAACGTGGGAAATCTGACCCAGAAACCCTCGATGATGTGATTGTGCACAGGTAGCCTACTTTTTATATGCAGGAAAGCAGATGTTATCAACGTAAAATAGACTGGCGGATGTTGGTGGAGGTGGGGGAACAGGAAGAAAAAGCAGCATTCATAAAAGTTGGCATACAGAAAGATTTGGATATCCTAGGCACCAGGCGTAAATGTTCCTCTTTGGGCCTTTGGCTGACTAACATTCTATAGCCTTTTAAATGTGTCTGTGGGAAGGGTGGCGGTTATCGTTTCGCTGTTTTGCTCCACTTGTTTTCATGTTTTTATCTTGTATTTTATTCTGTGATCCGCCCTGAGATCTCACGATGAAGGGCTGTATATAAATAAATACAATAACCGTCCTAAAAGATCAAGCTTAAAAAATGCCCCTAAATACCTTTGAACTAGGTAGGGCAAAGCCATCCGACAGAATGCATGCGTAAAATGCTATGCAAGATGGCTGCCTCCTTCTTGGCCGTGACACAGAACTTTGCATGATGGGTAATGAGGCCAGTTGCCCACTTTCTAAGGTCTTCTTCTCCCACTTCACAAAGCAAGTGAGAAAATCAGGAAGGTTTCGAGTCTTGCATCCACATCGTGTTAGCCTGGTTGTTCGATCCAGGCTCTCTAGACTTTGATATTGGCAGAAGTTGTTTCTGTCAGGTATATCTCGGAAGAGTCTTTCTTCACTATCCCCCTCAGACAAGGATCAAGGTCCAGATTTTGAATAGTTGAACCTTACCCCCGTTCCCCTGTGTACAACAGCTACCGTACCCCACCGCTTTGTGCCTTTCCATTTGCCCCTGACAGACCCTCACATCCCAAGACCACTTTCTGTTTACTTGTCCATTTCTCATTGACGCTCCTCGATTAACGGCCCCCTACTTCATCTCCATCCATCACCATGGAAACCTTCCCCAAAATTCCTTTTTTCCAAACCGGTCTAGTGTTTTAAAAGCCACATCTCACTGCCGCCGCTTCAGCCGCCGCTGCTTTGAAAGACAAATCGATTTTGAATGGCTGAAGGGGAGCCGCCGTGGTGTTTTTGGAGTGACTTCCCCTTGCTTGTCTCCCCCCTCCCCTTTTTTTCTTTTTTTGGTCTCTTGTCTTGGTTTGTCTCTGTGCGCAGTCAAAAGGTCAGCTTGAAAGATCGTGTCTTCTCCAGCCCTCGAGGTGCGGCCACAAAAGGTAAAGGTTCTCCTCAGGCCCAGGGGATGCGGAGGTCCCCTAGTGCGGACCAGAGCATTGAAGACAGTCCCAGCAAAGTGCCCAAGAGCTGGAGCTTCGGAGACAGGAGCCGAGCAAGGCAGGCTTTCCGCATGAAGGGAGCCGCGTCCCGTCAAAATTCAGAAGGTGAGGCAGGTCAGGGTGGTGTGATTTATCATGAGTTCATTCTTTGCATTTATAAGCCATGTTTAATCATCATCATCATTTTATTTGTATGCTGCCTTTCCATAGTTGAAACCCTGCTCAAAATGGCTTACAACATGACAAGATCTAGATAATTGCAAACATAACAAATGTCATAAGCAATAAATAAAGGTAAAGGGACCCCTGACTATTAGGTCCAGTTGTGGCCGACTCTGGGGTTGCAGCGCTCATCTCGCTTAATTGGCCGAGGGAGCCGACGTACAGCTTCCGGGTCATGCAGCCAGCATGACTAAGCCACTTCTGGCGAACCAGAGCAACACACGGAAATGCCGTTTACCTTCCCGCCGGAGCGGTACCTATTTATCTACTTGCACATGGCGTGCTTTCAAACTGCTAGGTTGGCAGGAGCAGGGACCGAGCAACGAGAGCTCACCCCGTTGTGGGGATTCAAACCGCCAGCCTTCTGATTGGCAAGTCCTAGGCTCTGTGGTTTAACCCACAGCGCCACTCGCTTCCCTAAGCAATAAATAAAACACATCAAAAAGTACACAACCAAATGGAAACAATTTCCACAGAAATCATAAGATCTAACACTAAAGATACAACAATAACAGCAACAAGATCTCTCAACCCCCCGTAAACAATACTCCAGCCCAAGAATCTGTTCAACAGCCTCAGCTTTTGTAGCTGGAGTCAGTCCACACTCCACTCTCCCAAGCCAGATGGGAAAAGGCTAGCAAGGCAGGGTGCAGTTCTTACAGGGCTCACAGGCAAGATGGTCTCATTTAGAACGACACAGATAAAAATGATAAACAATTGAAAAGAGGAGCCCTCTCTGCTGAGCAGCATCCGCTGTCCTCGTGAAGCCTGTCAGGCCCTGTCCTAGGCCAGGTGGAGAGAGGCAAGAGCAGGGCCCTTCAGGTTCTCAGCAGGCAGTCCTCCTCTGAGAGTCCTTCTCCACTTCTACCCTGCTGGCCCCACCCAGGAACTCAAGGCAGTATCAGTGGGTCTCTGCCACTTCATTTAATCCCCACAACCCTGTGCGGCAGAGGTGCCATCTTGTACCCAAGATTGGGGGCCCCCGATGTGTGGTGTCGGCATGCGACATAATGCGTGCAACATCACAGTGTTGGGAGGAGGCTGAGCTTGGAGCCCAGCATGGCACGACTTCTCTCATGTTCAGGAGGAGCCAGCTCCTGAACCATGCCATGCTTGGCTTTGTGATCGGCCTCCTCTGCCCCTTCAACACTGAGGGGGCCTGGCCCTGTGCCAGCAGATTTTGAGGCGCCTGAAGACCTGCCCCTGGCAGTCAAGTACAACATTCTTAGAGTGAACATATTTATACATGGGGAGGAACATTTGTCCAGCCAGCAGGTAAACTTCCTGTTTCCTTCTGGGCTGGGACAGACTTCCTCTGCATGTGACTAGAGGTGGGTATTGCTTCACCTGTGCAGGTAATGGCAAAAGCACAGGGCAGGGCAGCCATCTCTCTCTCTTTGACTACATGCTTCGAAGAAGCAACATCTGCTTAGCCAAAGATGCTCTCTTGGCCAAGAGAGGACAAAGGGACTCTCTCCTTATGAGATAGTTTCCAGGTGTATGTTACTTTTCTAAGCTAAGTCTGCCTTCTGGGATCCGATTGTGAACAGAATGTGAGTGAGTAAACTCTTTTTATACTTTTATAGAAGACTGTGTCATGTCTTATCTTTTATGAGGGAATAAGGGGAAAATATCAGAACAGTTATTATAGAGGCTTTAGCGAGCCTGAGCAAACACATCCGCTGTGAGTTTAAAAGGGGAATGTTACTCTGCTAATTTGTGAACTTGTTAACACAAGTTGGAAAGGCTATAATCAAACAATATATCCTCTCCTGCATCCCTGAACATTCCCACACCTAGGAGTTGGCATGCCTGCTGTGAGGTAGGTTAGGCTGAGAGGCAGTGACAGGTGACATCTCTGTGGCGCAAGCCTGGGCAGTGTGTGTAGAGGTCCTGGGCTGCCCAGAGAACAAGACCCCCTCTGTGTGTACATCTCTTTCTCGTATGCAGGTGTCCAGCAACCCACATCCAGTGGAGCTGTGGGCACGCTATTACCATTAGCAGAGTATCCGCAAGAAGCGAGGCTGTAGGTATTTGGCATTGTGAAAGTTTCTTTATTTACAGCAGATCAAAACAACAAACATGGTTGAGTGTGAGCAGCAGCTTCACACATGTCCTCTCCGTCTGAAAGCAGAGAACAAAGAGAGAAAGTACAAAAGCACACAGAACGGAAGTACAGTGTCTGAGTTCCGTTCTCATGCTCCTGTCACTATGGAATGTAAACAGTGGATCACGAGATCCAACAGCAATGAGAGAATGAAATTACTAATACTTTCGGCCTCTCTGATGTGTTCCAAAGGAAAGCAGAGCAAGACGTTTGTGTTAAGCTGTGGGTGAACATATCAGACGACACAGCGATTCTTCAAACAGCTCTTGTTTATTCAGAGGCCAGAACAGAACTGAGCTGAAGGGTTCAGTCAGCCTGCTTATATAGAGCTCCAGTACACATAACTGTAACAACTTTCTAAAACTATCCAATCACTGAACGTCACTTTCGGTCCCTTATTTGCATAACTATCTACAGTATCCCCCTGCTGGCCCAGGGTGAGAACTTCAGTACATAACAGTTTGGCACCAGCTAGCTGCAGGAGTTGCTGGAAGGAGGCATACAAGGCCCTATCCAACTGTTTTAGGAACTCCTCTTCAGATTTTTGTAGGGTTTACTCCTGAGCCCTTTCTTCTCCTGAAGATATCCTGCAAGGCAGTGGGTAGTGATTACTGCCAGCATGCAGCCCCTGACCAATTATCCCTGAGGCAACGCTTGTTTTGAAATGTGATTTAATTGGAAGGGATGTATTTTTTTTTTTAATGTTGTAAGCCAACCTGCAGATTTTAAAAAATAAATTATTATTAGAAACTTAAACAAAACGTATTATCCAAAAATATCACATCCTTAATTTTCCCCATTTTCCTCCCTCCCCCCACCCTCCCATAAAGGACCCCCCCCCGACTCCCCTCAGTTCCAATCTTTGGTTTCTCTGTGAATACTGTTCTCTGCATGTTACAAAATTGTATAAAGCCTTAAATTGTCTAACTGATTATTGTCAATAAAGAGTTTGTGAGTGTTTATGCAAAACCTGCCAAGGAGTCCAATTCACTTTGTTGCATCATCAAGTACTTTGTAAAGGGTTCCCATTCATCTTTGAAATCACAGTTGTCCTTGTCCCGTGGCTTATGTGTCAGTTCTGCATAATCCATCAATTTCTCTTGCCATGATTCTTTAGTTGGGATTTCTTCGTTCTTCCAACCTTGTGCTATTAAAACTCTTGCAGCCGTTGTCGCATACATGAAATTTTTTTTCACAGCCTGCAGATTTTTGGAGCCACTGATGGGGAGCATACATTTCAGTTATCCAAAGCTGCTATCTAAACCTAGCTTAAAGAGAAAGAGAAAAGGTTGTCATAAGCTGCAATCACACTTGCCTTTTGTATATTCCCTGCACGTTTTGCCAGGAATCTGTCACTCTCTGCAGCAATAGCTTATTATGCATTTATCCTTCCTCAATCTAGATGCCTGCCTCCCCGGAGAAGACATGCCTGATGCCGACAACAAAAGCTGCAACTGCGAATTTGTGACCGAGGATCTGACACCGGGCCTTAAAGTCAGCATCAGGGCAGTGTGGTAAGGGAGGGAGTTGTGCATGCAAACAAGGGGGCAGTGTGCTTGTGGGTGGAAGTGTGACCATGAGAAGTCCAAGCAGTGCTGAACAATGCCAGGGGCTCAGTTGCTACAGGCAGGATTCTGCATGGCTCTGCATCGCACATAAAATACGGCTGGAGGAAGAAGCAGCTGGAGTTGGACCTGCCATGTTCACTTCCTGGCAGTTGGGTCTCTGTTGCTTACTGGGAGAGAGAGGTGTTTAGGGAGGTTGACGCGGTGCAGATGCACTGGCAGAAAAGCCAGAAGGCTCCGCTGGTGTGCTTGCACCGTGCCAACCACCCCACCCCACACTTCCTCCTGGTAACCCACCTGCCAGGAAGTGGCCCACCCGATGAGCCACTTCTGGTGAGAGAAGACTTCAGTTTGGCATGGGAAGGAGTAGAACGGGGAGAAGACACTCAGCAGTTAAACAGATATCTGTAGAGCAAGGTCCTATGATGGTTTGGGCTTAATGCCAAAGAATATAGTCCCTCCTTCCTTCCAGCCATGACAACATAATGACCAGGCCCCCTCTTGAATTCCAAGAGCCCAAGTCATAGAATCATAAGACTGTAGAGTTGGAAAGGAATCATAGGGTCATCTAGTCCAACCCCCTGCAATATTGTGAATGCAATATTAGCTCATGTGAACTTCAAGGTACTGTACCCCACAGGTACTTTTCCCCCTCTTTTCCCATGAGGGGGTTCCTTAGATCACAGAATCATAGAGCTGGAATATGCCACAAGGATCACCTAGTCCAACCCCCTGCAATGCAGGAATCTGAAACCCAGTGTGAGACTCGAACCCACAGCCCTGAGATTAAGGGTCTCATAGGATGTAGGGTTAGAAGTAGAAGATAGTGTATTTTAAAATAGGATTATTTGTAAGCGATAAAATGTGAAGATTTTTATGGCAAAAGAAAGCGTGGTTAAAAAAAATGGCTAGAAATTATGATATATGTAAACTGCTAAAGATGAGGTAAAATGAAAATCAGATAAGAGGGACTTGGGGAAGCTCACCTAACAATGTTTAGAAAAAAAATAAGGATAAGACAAGAATTTGTTTGTATTGTTTGTTTTTCTGTTTGTGTTATTTAGTTGTGCTACAAAAAATGTTGGAGGAAAAAAGAGAGATTAAGGGTCTCATGTTCTACCAACTGAGCTAAATCAGTGCCCTTAATTCATACTTAAGAAGCTCCAACCACAATAAATGCTGACCTCTTCTCCCCCCCCAACTTAAATTTTTATTAGTTTTCATCAAACATACATTCCAATACATTCATTGTATTAATACATCTCATACATAACATTAGCTCTATTGAGCTTTGGACTTCCTTCCTCCCCTTCGGTAAGTATCATATATTTTCATCATGTCACGTATTTTATACATTTATCTATTTGATCATAAGCTGTTGAAGTTAGTCAAATCCTGCCAGTGTCTTTAAAGATTTACAGTTATCTCTTATATAATCCAAGTATTATTTACTCCAATTTTCATAAAACTTTTGTTCATCCTGATCTTTTATTCTCCCCGATATTCTAGCCAGTTCCGCATAATTAATCAATTCTACTTTCTAAGTATTCAATTATATCTACTACATTTCTAACATTATCTTTCAATTGCCTTCCCGGTAAAAAAACCAGCTTGATCTTTATGAATTATTGTAAATGCTGACCTCTTCAAAGTTTATAGCAATAGTGCCTGTACGGTTTCTTCATGGGAGACTCTTTCATTGGAGAATTTCAAGCAGCGGTTGGGTGGCCCTCTGCCCCGGATGCTTTAGTTGAGATTCCTGCATTGCAGGGGGTTGGACTAGATGGCCCCCGGGTACCTTCCAGCTCTACAATTCTGTGATTCCCTGCCATGGTTGGTCCTTGGTCTTTGCAGCATGCATGCAGCTCCTTGAAATCCCAGCATCTTCCTTCACACTAGGGAAGCTGCTACCAAGATGGGAGAGCTCTCCAGGTCTGACAAGCACAGAGAGTGGGGCGGGTATAGATTTGCATGGGGCAGAAATGAATGCATTGTTGGGGGTTGGAGCTGGGGAAGGAGCCAGAGGGAAGGTAACAGGTGGGACACCCGCTTGGCTGCAGGCCTCCCGTTGTCACTCTCTTCCTTCTAGTGTCATGAGATTTCTGGTTTCCAAGCGGAAGTTCAAGGAGAGCCTGAGGCCCTACGATGTCATGGACGTCATTGAGCAGTACTCAGCGGGACATTTGGATATGCTTTCCAGGATCAAAAACCTCCAGTCCAGGCAAGAGTCCTCCCCTCTTTCAACCTCCTGCCTCCTGCTCTCCATTGGGCAAGTGTTCTCATGGTGGAAGGGTGACCTTTTTGACCGTCGCCCACCTAATGTTTTCTTTCTTTCCCCCCAGGAAAAAAGCCACAGGGTGTTGTTGTTTTTGTGAGTAAGGACTGCTTATATCTGGGTTGCAGGGACTGGATTTGTAGTACAGTCAAACCTTGGTTCCCGAACGGCTTAGTTGCCGAACAAATCGGCTCCCAAATGCTTCAAAGTGTTCCAGTTTGCGAACGTTTTTCAGAAGCCGAATGTCCGACGCGGCTTCCGCTTGAGTGCAGGAGCTCCTGCAGCCAATCGGAAGCCACGCCTTGGTTTTTGAACAGTTTCAGAAGTCGAATGGACTCCCAGAATGGATTAAGTTCAAGAACCATGGTACCACTGTATAAAGCAGTGTTCCCCAACCTTGGGCCTCCAGCTGTTTTTGGACTACAATTCCCATCATCCTTGACCACTGGTCTTGCTAGCGAGGGATGATGGGAGTTGTAGTCCAAAAACAGCTGGAGGCCCAAGGTTGGGGAACACTGATATAAAGCCTGAGGCTCAGATTGGCTCTTCGGAGTCTCAGTGGGTATGACAAGCAGTGAGTGTCCCTACCCAGATCCATCCCTATACGCTCAAGTATTTTCAGAATGGCAGCCTTGCCGGAATGGGTAGGGACTGCGTAATCTGGTCTGCATTGAGGTTCCCAAGAGTGATGTAAATATTATTTTCATTGGGAAGTCCAGATTGAAATTTAAGGAATCTGAAAATGTCCGTATGTCCTGTGTGTGGCAAAGGGACTGGGGAAAGATAAATTTTGAATGTATCTCTGCTATGCAACTGTGAAATTATTTTTGTAGAAAGGACTAGTGAAGCAAAGAAAAGCCAATGAAAATTGAGGATTTTTCAAATATATATAAATATATGGCTACTGATTCAAAACACACTGTTAACTTAGAGATGGAACAACATAGGGATTCACCTGTCCCCAGTAGCATGAGACTTTATAACTCTACAGGTCTTCCTTTTTCTATCTCGCATATTTGAGTGTAGTCATGCCTTTATCCTTTTCCCTATTTGCAAAGATTGTCTCCCAGTAGTCTAATAAGCTGTTCTTGGAAAGGTTTTAATTTAACCGTCAGACATTTGCAAGGTTATTGCAAACAGATCGGAACTGTAACAAGAGTCCCTTCGCTGAATTGATACGTGTGAGGACTATTTCTGTGGACACCATAGCTCAGTAGTAAAAGGTAAAGGTACCCCTGCCCGTACGGGCCAGTTTTGACAGACTCTGGGGTTGTGCGCCCATCTCACTCAAGAGGCCGGGGGCCAGCGCTGTCCGGAGACACTTCCGGGTCACGTGGCCAGCGTGACATCGCTGCTCTGGCAAGCCAGAGCCACACACGGAAACGCCGTTTACCTTCCCGCTAGTAAGCGGTCCCTATTTATCTACTTGCACCCGGGGGTGCTTTCGAACTGCTAGGTTGGCAGGCGCTGGGACCGAGCAACGGGAGCGCACCCCGCCGCGGGATTCGAACTGCCGACCTTTCAATCGGCAAGCCCTAGGTGCTGAGGCTTTTACCCACAGCGCCACCCGCGTCCCTATAGCTCAGTAGATGATCTCAGTAGATGATCCACCAAACAAGTTAGGGTTCTGCTGATCTGAAAGGTTCGCTCTCTTGGTTGCATGAGTGCGTGAAGAAAATATTTCAGCCTTCCTTTGCCAAGATGGATCTAAGTACCCCTTACAGATGTGTCTTAGTGGCATAGCTTGAATCTATGGGCCAGAGGAGGGCAGTCTGTGCAGACTGATGGCTCCAAAGAGGACTCTTAAGTCCTCACACTTCTTGCTGCTGGCTTTGTTGGCTGTGCCTCTTCATCTGACTCTAAAACCGAACCCAAAAGAACTAGGGAAACGCATCATTCATTGTGCAAATACAACTATTTTCCCGAACTACAGCTCTTATCATCCCTGACTCTTGGCCACGATGGCTGGGGCTGATGGGAGTTGGAGTCCAACAAGAGTTAGAGGACCAGCGTTTAAACAAACCCAACATACCATGTGAACCGCCATGGTTTACCAGGCAAACAAGCTGGGAGACCAGTTGTTTGTTTCGTCCTGGTCAACAGGGGGACATTTACCACATTTCTGAAATATGGGGGGGGGGGAGCAGGAGAGGGAGCAAAATTCCCCTCCCATCTTGGCAGGATGATATTCACATTGTGGTAAGTTGTCCCCTGGAGAAACGGTTATCTGTTTCCTCTTGATGTAGCTGAGGTTAAAGTTTAGCAGAGTGTCGAACGGCACTTTACAGGTTGGCCTGTGTTTTTTGTTTCGTTTTGAAACCAACATGAACCCAGTCGGGTTGCCATCCTGACTGCAGAAAGGCTGTAGGAAATATTTCACCCTTCTTCATTTTGTTTTTTTTAAGCTTAACATCACCTGCCCTGCCCTGCTTTTTTACCCACAGGGAAAAGAACTGGGGGTCCTTTATCTCCCCCCCATAGGTGATTTTTATTTTTTTAAAAAACAAACAAACCAACAAAATAATAAATAATAATAAATTTTATTTATATCCCGCCCTCCCCAGCCGAAGCCGGGCTCAGGGCGGCTAACAACAATAAAACAGTACAAAAGTACAGCACAAACAACACTCTAAAATCATTCATTATAAAAATAATTCAAATCAAGCCACTGGCAACCATTGGGCCAGAGCTCCGCGAAGATTGCCGAAGGAGGGAGTCAGGCTGTGCCCTGGCCAAAGGCCTGGTGGAACAGCTCTGTCTTGCAGGCCCTGCGGAAAGATGTCAAGTCCCGCAGGGCCCTGGTCTCTTGTGACAGAGTGTTCCACCAGATCGGGGCCACAGCCGAAAAAGCCATGGCTCTAGTTGCGGCCAGCCTAACTTCTCTGTGGCCTGGGACCTTCAAGATGTTTTTATTTGAAGACCGTAAGTTTCTCTGAACCCTAATTGTTCATTTTTCAAAATGTTAATAAATAATTTTTTAATCTTTAAAAATAAAAATAAAATAAAAGCAGTGTATGGAAAGCAATTTTGAGCTGAAAAATTCCTGGAAGGGTCCAGCACCTTCTTTCTGCGCTTCTTCTGCTCAGGTTCGCAACTTGCCCCTAGCCGATTCTGAATTTTAATATATGTGATAGAGAGAAACGCTGTACTCCATGTAAAGTGTCATTTGAACTTGAGGTGCTTAGAATTGTCTTAAAACGAACATTTCATCTGTCAAAGGGCACTGTCCCAGTCTTTTTGGCGGGTGTTTTTTTTGGGGGGTGGGGGTGGGGTGGGAGGGTTTTTCCTCCTCTCAACTTCCTCCTTCACCACTCATGATACTTGTTGCTGCTCTTGTGAGGTGTCTGCCATAAGTTCTAACATTATTATTTTCCCTACGCCTTGTTTCTGTCTCTCGCCCCATCCCATCCGTGGGTGTGTGTTTGCCTCCTTCAAAGCTTGTTTTCTCAAACCAGCTAAGAATGTGTTCCATGTAATGTGACAGGTGAGAAGCCTACATTTCCAATGGAATATTGTCATAATCGTTCCAAGCTTGTGTAGCATGTCTTGCCTTTCCATCGCGGAGCAGCTTCCCTTTTCCGACACAAGAAGGGCTATTCCATTGTTGCTGGAAATTCTGCAAGTCTTTCAATTAATGGTCGGAATTTGGTGTGCTCCCAGACGATCAAGTTGTATGATTACTGCCTTCTGTTCTGAGCGGATTATAATTTTTTCAACTTTCTTCTCTTTCCCTTTGATTTCCTTTTAAGTTGTTCTTCCTGTCTCTGCAACTTTTCCAACCGAGTTTTCCTCCGACATGTTGCTTCATTATGCGTTTTGCTGGTGTCTTTTTTCTTCTCATTTATTTTCGCCAGGATAGATATGATTGTGGGTCCCCCGCCCCCTTCAACTCCCCGGCATAAGAAGTATTCAACCAAAGGATCACCCCAATACTCGCCTAGGTTAGGACTTGCCAAAATGCCTCTTTTTCCTGATTCATTTGCTTCCTGTCAACCCCTTTTCATGCCACGTTAAATGACGGCATTTGTCACGTGCTGCTGACGCATATTGCACCGAATGGCTTGCTCTCCTGGATGTGCTTAATTTACTTTTACTTTTAGAGACACCAAAGGTGGGCCTTCACAGCAGTGCAAACCCGGAAATGGCCAAAGGACACTTCTCTGATCATCATCATTTTCCATCATTTTCCTTTGATGGAACCATTCGAGGCTCCCTCAGCTTTTAGGCTTGGGATGGTAAAAGCCATGGCATTTGTGTTGCAGCAATTTCAGTCTCCTTTAGAACAAGGAGAGCTGTTTCCTTCTAATGGAGAGAAATTGCCCAGATAGGCTTGCAATGATGCCAAAATACTTGTAGAAGGTTTTTAACTAGTGGCTCAAGTCTTATGCACAGGCCGAGATCCAGAGCTCCATATTGGACCCATTCTCTTCGGTGAAGAGGGGAAAACTCAATAATTCCCATGTGCCCCGAAGTGTCTTCTACAATAGATGAGATGAGAAACCACGTTGCGCATTGCCCTGTGGATAATGCCAATCACAACGTTTCTTTGGATTGCAACATTCTTCCTGCACAATATGGTAGAACATTGCTTTCCCAATAAGCTCTAAAAGCTTATCTGAGGTTTTCCACTGAAAAGGTTATTAATGGCAGAGAAGCTTCCCTGAACGAGAGCTTGCTCGCAGCATGTATTCATCTGGAATCGCAGGGGAGTGTTGAACGGGGTCTCATCGCGCATGGAGTAATAACAGTGGTTCTAATGATGCTAGCCCATGCAACATAACCTGACATTCTACATGGTAGACACACAAGGGTATGTGGGCAGTCAAGTCAATATGGAAAAGGTTCCCTGAATATATATAAAAAATCTTAAATGCATTGTGCTAGAGAGAGGCTACAATTACCCCCTAGTTTATTCTCACTTATTTCTAGTTAATAACATTTAACTGGCTTAAAGAAGGCTTCAAGATCCTTAACACAGTAATTATATCTAGCACAACCAAGAATTGTAAACTGTAATCACATCAATGTAGACTGCTGTTTAATTATGAATTAGTTAATCGCTCAATCACCTTCTATACACGTCTCAAGGTGATTTGCAGAATGCGCTAAAAACAGTTGAGAATAACACACAAAAACAGCAGCAGATGAATTTGAAATACGGAGTAGACTCCCATTGTAGAGACATGTTCAGCTTGGAACAAAAACGTCCTCAGTTGCTTGTCGACACACGAATGCTGCTTCATAGAACGAGCAGCCACACTAAAACCCCTGCTCTGAGTTATGGTAGAATGGACTTCTAATACTAAGGAACATGTTGTATCTCACAGCCATGGCTTTAGCTTGGCTCCGTACCAGAGAGATCCAAAACGGTTAGGGATTGAATGTCACAGCGCCAGGAGGTGCCAGATCGCTGACCCCATCAGTAGTATACCAGCATTCCTAAACTGTAGATAGTACTATGGGATTTTTGAAGAGTGATACAATCCAGGCCCCCACACCAGCTGAATTCACATCCCATGACATTTGCTATCAGGTACCACTTACCCGAGATGATATGTTAACTCGGCATCTGAGCTCAGTGAGAGAACTCCATTGTGAAACAGGATCGTTTCAGAGGCTAAGCAGGTCCCACCGGTGTAAAACAACATACATGAACACAAGTTTCCGGCCAGTTGTTTACCATGGCGTGCCAACAACAAAATACAGTCATACCTCGGGTTGAATACGCTTCGAGTTGAGCGCGTTCGAGTTGTGCTCCGTGGCAACCCAGAAGTAATGGAGCGCGTTACTTCCGGGTTTCGTCGCTTGCGCATACGCAGATGCTTGACGTCACGCACATGCGCAGAAGTGACGAAAAGCGACGCGCGCAGACATGCCGTCGCTAGTTACGTTTGCTTCTAGACTGGTGACTGGGAGCAGCCGCCAAGACCATATAACACCAGTCTTGAAATATCGCATTCCTGTACCCGTGAAAATCTACGAAAGCAAATATCTCACCTCTACGGGGAGGAAACCTTCCAGCTGACAAGAACCTACGAGAAACTAGAAATCCGAAGAGCCACCATCTTATGTGATCTCTTGTTCCTACGCAACTGCCGAGACAACAACTTAATTCCCACATGCTTCCAACTTAAATTCCACTCTAAAACCCCAGCTACCGAAAGGATCCTGAAACGAACTGAACTAGCCCTAATCAGAAACGAACTACATAAGAAAAGATACCTACTAAACCAAACCAACAAAGATCTGCTCACTCTTCACCTCAAACTCTGTAACAAAATCCACCCTGCACTCTGGGACAAATGCAAACAACTAGCCGTCTGGAGAGCTGAAACTGAGACCTCACATAAGACAGACACACACACCAACAAACTCCACAAACTAGAGAAACGCCAGAAGCCCAGCCACCCTCCACAACAACCCATGAAACAAACAGTACATAACATATCAGACAGGATCCTCACCTCAACTGAAACCAAAGTACTCTCCAAAGGTTTCAACTTTGCAGTCGCCCCGAGACGCATCCCCACGGAAAACATCATATGCGGAGTCGAAGCTAGCCTAACCAAAATCAACCCAGATGAAGCCAATAAAATCAGACTTGAAGTCACCAACATCCTCTGCTCCAGCAAACCACCCAGAAGCAATTTACACAAAGAAGAACAGAAAGCACTCACCAACCTGAGGAAAGACAACAACATAATCATTCTCCCAGCAGACAAAGGTAATGCCACTGTTGTGATGAACACATCGGACTACCAAGCAAAACTATCAAATCTACTCCAAGACCCTACCTACCAACCTATAAAAACAGATCCCACCACCTATCTGGAAAAAACCACCAAATCCAAAATAAAAGCCTCTCCTATCAGTGAAGAAATCCAGCTAAGAATCATCCCCAGAGAAAAAATCATCCAGATGCCCCAAACTCTACGGCCTCCCCAAGATACACAAAGAAGGAACACCACTCAGACCAATAGTCAGCTCCATAGGCTCACCTCTACAAAATCTCGCTAAATTTCTCGCTAAGCAACTTCAGCCCTATGCAGAATCCATCTCTTCACACGTTACAAACTCCTTCCAGTTCATAGAAACAATAAAGAAGCAAAACCTACATCCCAATGACCTACTTGTGAGCTTCGATGTTGTATCTCTCTTCACACAAGTGCCCATTAATGAAGCCTTGACAGCCATTCAAAACAAATACAATCCCCCCGAATACATCCTGGACCTGACCAACCACTGCCTAACCAACACGTACTTCATCCACAATGGACAAAGATACAAACAGATAGAAGGAGCACCTATGGGATCACCCCTCTCACCGGTCATCGCAAACCTGTACATGGAACACTTTGAAACCAATGCTTTAGACAAGTCAGAACACAAACCCAAACTTTGGCTCAGATATGTTGACGACACCTTTGTAATTTGGCCACACGGGAAGGAAAAACTAGATAGCTTCCTCACACATCTCAACAGCCTACACCCCAAAATACAATTCACTATGGAAATAGAAGCCAACAACCAACTTCCCTTCCTTGACGTCCTAATCTACAAAAAACCTGATGGCTCCCTAGGACACACTATCTACCGGAAAAAAACACACACCAACCGCTACTTACATGCACAATCACACCACCACCCTGCACAAATAAACTCCGTAGCCAAGACTCTCATCTCCAGAACCAAACGCCTGGCTGACAAAGACCACTTGACAACTGAGTTACAGAATCTCTCAAATGTGTTAATCGCCAATGGATACCAGCAAAACAGGGTTACGAAGCTAATCCAAAAAGAAACACCCCCCAAAAACCAAGACACAGAAGAAAACAATGGCATGGCCCTCCTTCCTTACATCAAGGGCACTACAGATAAAATTAGCAAAATCCTCCATAAACACAATATCAAAACAGCCTTTTGCACCAACCAAAAAATAGCCAATATCCTCAGAAACCCCAAGGATAGAATCCAGTTGGAAAACCAAGGGGTCTATGAAATACCCTGCAAAGTCTGCCCAGCCACGTACATTGGACAAACAAACAGACGAATAAATGCACGTATCGCAGAACACAAGAATGCCGTCAAAAAAGAGGAAAAAACTTCCTCTCTTTTCCAACACATGAAAGAAACAGGACACGAAATTAATTTTGCAGATTCCAAATTGCTCTTTAACATGGAACATCACCACAAGAGAATAATCATGGAAGCCATCGAGATAGAGAAACACCCTCACAACATGAACAAGCGTGACGACACATCCCGCTTGCCAGACATCTGGAAATTAGCCCTCCCCACAAAAACCGACACCAGATCCAGAGGCACACAGAACGCCATCACCAATCAACCACACCAGACCCAAACCCAGACCCTCTCCACAGATAAATTACAGACACCATCCAGTAGCCAAACCATGGTGGAACCTCCGGATGCTGCACCCCCCTGCAATCCCTACACAGATCTGGCTGGCACAGGCCACAAAACCACAGCTCGCCCCTATACACGAAGCCAAGCCAGAGCCAAGTTCAAGCCAAGTTCAAGAGGTCAAGACACGAAGGCTTTAGCAACTAATCCACACCTAATGACCCACCCAAGTGGTACTCAGGATATCACTCAAGAAATCACTCCAGATATCCCTCCAGTAATTAAGGAACAAAAGAAGAAAAGGCACACTAGCCTGGGAACTTCCTCTCTGCCCAGAACATTGGAGGCTATACACCACACCTCCTCAACAGTATTTATAGGAACTCAAACACTGAGATCCTGCTCTGTTCCAGTAACAAGAAGCCGAAAGCACCAGCCTGAAGATGACGAGTGAGACCTCGTCGAAACGTCGCCTAGACACCCCAACTTTTACACGGGAAGACACCCGAGGACACCAAAACCTGCATTCCTGTACCCGTGAAAATCTACGAAAGCAAATATCTCACCTCTACGGGGA